TCTCAACATTCATGTACAAAATTATTCAACCTCCAAAAGTGAATTTTATAGAGCATTGTTTTTTACTCCTCATAACCTCCAATAAATGTTGCCTCTATGCTTACAAGCTTCTGTCACCTTTCTACTGGAATCTTGGCACATACCTCATGTGGAAAAAGTTTGGAGATCACTGATAATCTTTGGTTATCACATTGCCACATTGTTTCATTAAATTACACCTAATGTGTTTTTAATGAGATTTAAATCTGAAGACTGAACAGGCCACTCGAAAACATTCTGCGACCGATCCCTGAACCAAGCCTCACTATATTTGGATTTACACTGTATGGGACGGTTGTCCTGCAGGAAAGTCCACTGATCATCAGCTTCAGTCTCTGCACAGAAGACAGCCTGATCCTTCAAGGAATCCATTATGTTCATACAGTCAAGATTTCCACTTCCTGCAACAGCAAAGAACCAGGTGCACCTCCATATTTGATTATGGTGATGCTGTTCTGCTCATAAGCCTTGCCTTTTTTGTACCAGACATACGGCTGTTCCATGGTTCCAAAAAGGTCCAGTTGGGTCAAAATCTCTCATAAAACATTCCTCCAACTCCACAGGTCTATCCAAATTAATTTTAACATATTTGCTGGCCTTTTATGTTCTTCTTGGCCGAGAGTAGCGTTCAGCAAGATGTCCCATCATGAAGGTCATGCTTGTCTGCTGTTCCTCTTATAGTCTGCATATAAAATGTATAAATGCTTTTTCCTTCTTTCCTTCTTCCGCCACCTCTCTCTCAAATGGACCATTGACACTCTATCTACAATCTCAATTAGGAGTGTCAATGGTCCATTTGAGAGATAGGTGGCGGTAATGCACTTATAAGTCTGCGATCCGCCGTAAAGCAAGAAGAAGAAGAAGACGCGTCACGCGCCGGCTGTTGAGAACACGCTCAGGACAGTTCGGACATTGCGGTGAATCAGAGGTAAAAAACGATATAAATACTGTTCAGTTTCTTGCACAGACCGATCGTTTCGTGACTTTACACATCAATGTATCGTCACGAGCCGCAGGGTTTAATTTGGTTTTG